ACCTGATTTTTGATTTCCTAAAAGTAAAGCTCTAAACCATGAATTTTTCCCATTAGTTAACGAGGCCTCGGGTCCCAGGAGAGACAAGTATGGGTTGTCTCGTCCCCCACAGTCGTGTAAAGGTAGATAGGTTAGCCTCTTTGGAGAAGTGGTTCGTTTTGAGTTTGGCTCATACTCGTTGAGATTTATAAGTTTTATGTAAACATTAAATAAAATTCTTAAAATGTCTATACCTATCTAGCCTAGCATGTCCCGGCCTTGTAAACATATTGGGTCTATATTCATAAAAATAAGGAAATTTTTATATCTAAGAGATTAACTATGATCCATTTCAAAATAAAGAGACGAGATTTAAAACTTCAAAAATCAGATATTGTTAAATTGTATTTATGAAATAATTAATTAAAAATATATTTTATTAATTAGATATATTAAGGTTACAATTCTATACAATTTGGTCACAATTATCAAATTAATTAATTACAAATTATTTTTTCAGTAAAAAATTTTGTAAGTCACAAATTATTTTACGGTTATAAATCAAAATTTATAGGTCAATATTTATTCATCGGTCACAATAAAAAAAATTTAAGTCACAATTTATTTATCTGTCACAAATCATAAATTTTATAAGTCACAACTCAAAATTTCATGTAACATGTTATTTATTGATCACAATTTATCGATCACGTGTTATATTTTCGTTACAAAATATTCAATTTATTAGTCACAATCTCAAATAATTGGTCACAAACACTATTAACTCCACCACCTACTCCAATCTACCATGGCACCAACCGACTCCACCTCACCACCACCACTAGCACCGCCACCACCTCGAACAAATTTTCAACTCCAAAACCACAGCCACCAACAAGATCCAAGAGAATCACCACCACAACAGCCCAAAAAATCAACAAATCAGATCCACAAATGCCATCACCACAACCATAACGTCTTTGGTTGTGTGCGGTCGTACTCTGATCATATCCAAAACCAGAACGCCGCTGCAACCCCTTTCCTCACCGAAAAACACAAAAATTCCGCTCAATGCCGCTCTCAGATCAAGAACCATCACACCACTAATCTCGAGTTTGCAGCAACCAGGCGTCTCACTTGCTTGCAGTACTTGTAGTCGCCTCGTAGGCGAGATGATAGTGAAATTCAGGGAGTTAGATGGGAACGTCAAGGAACTCTAGGTCATCCTGCGAATTTAATAATATGGTGGTGGAAATGGTGGTGGGTTTTGAGAGGCAAAGCAACCCTTTTGGGGGAGAAGAAAGGAGTTGACTGTAAGAGTGGCTACGAAGAAACATCGTGAGGCAGGAGATCAATTGCGTCGTGGTTTATAGAGATCGATGATGACATCGTGAGCATTGGTCATTGGTTGCAGTGACGGACCCAACACAAAAGTTCAACCCAGGCGGATGTTGATCATTGACCATCGGCAATCAGCGATCGTAAGAGTGATATCGTTTATTAATATTTAATTAAATAATATTAAAAATTATTCAATATATATGTAAACACGCTAAAACGTATGGGCATGGCCGAAACCCATGACCTTTCACTGGACCAGCCCACGAGCAATCCTATTCTCC